GTGCATACGAACCGCGTCGCTGGAGAACGGGGCGCACGCGGAGGGTTTCGCAAGGGACGCGGTGGGCGTGGCTATGGCAGGGCGCCCCGCCGGCATTCACCTCAGCCTCCGCCCAGCGACGAGGAGGACGAGGACACCATCAGCGTGGTTAATCCATTCCGTTCGCGGAGTTGCAGGATCGCCGTGACCAGGAGGGCGGGTTCGATGGACATGGTGGCCGGGGCTGGCGGCGCGGGGCCTGGGGCTTAGACCGTGATGGCGCAAACCTGGGACGGATATACCGCGACTGGCCTGACGGTGAGAACCAGCACCGTCGTGGAGAGCGCCGCGATTGGATCGATGGGGAAGACCAGTGGCATCACAGCTGGGGTCCCAAAGACAACGGGCTGGGATTCCACACCGGCGGACAGCAACGCAGACGTGGGTGGGTCGCACGGGATAGCGTCGGGCTCGATGAAGATGACATACACCATCGCGGCTGGGGCTATGGTGGTGCCAAACGCGATTTCGACGCTGGTGGACAACAACAACAGAACGATTTTGACCAGGCGGATGTGGGCCTGGGGCTGTACCGACGTGATTTTCGCCGACCGATGGACGAACACGGCGACCCCCGTTGGATATTGGGGTTTTCCGGTCGAGATTCCAGTGTTTTCAGGAGGAGCAGATGCAGCGGAGTTCCTCGACTGGTGGGATGCAGTTGAGTCTGTCCTCAAGTTTAAGGAGGTCCTAGACGACAAGCGTGTCGCGCTTGTCGCCACGCGGTTCTGTGGACGAGCGGCGGCTTGGTGGATGCAACTCACGAGCTTGCGGCATCGCCAGGGGAAGCCAAAAATCTCCACTTGGATGCAGTTCCGTAAGTACGTAGAACGTGAATTTCTGCCTTATAATTATAATCATATGGTTTATGAGCAGTTACATACTTTATGGCAAGGACAACGTTCGGTTCACGAGTATACAGAGGACTTTTATCGCCTCTTAACTCGTGTGGAGATACGTGAGACAAAGGGCCAGTTGGTTGCTCGTTATGTGGGTGGTTTAAATATTGCTATCCAAGATCTGCTTAATGTTGTTGTCTCGGAGTCTGTTTCGGATGCACATCAACGAACTCTCGTTGTTAAGAAACAGTTGGCTCGGAAGATGGGTCCTTCCATTGCGTCTTCCTCACGGGCGGATGCATCTATGAGTGCAGGTGTGCAGCCCGGATGTGCGCCGCTTGCTACGGGTGTGTACTTGGGCTTGAGACCAGCAATGTGGCGGGGCAATGCGACCAGTGGAGGGCAGTCGGCAACCGCGGGTGTGCAGCGGACTGGTGGCGGGATTCGGTGCTTCGGGTGCGGCGAGCTCGGGCATCGACAGGCGGCTTGTCCGAAAGGGACAGGGTCGCGTGCTGTGTTTGCTGAGGAGACAGCAGAATATTCGACAGCTGCGGTATATGATGGCCCTCCTATTTTTGACAAAGAGCCGGAGGTTCTTGAGGTGCATGTCTCGGGAGACGTGGGACACGCACTTGTCCTCCGTCGCTCTCTTTTGTCCCCGCCCGTCGCTTCCACTGATGAGGGCTTGCGTCGACAACTTTTTGAATCTAAGTGCACCGTTGGCAGCTGGGTGTGCCATTTTGTTATTGATTTCGGGTCATGCGAAAACGTGATATCTACTGTTGCCGTTGCGAAGCTTGGATTGTCGACGGAGCCGCATCCGTATCCTTATGCTCTCGCGTGGATACGGCGTGACAACGTTGTTCCTGTTAACAAGCGTGTGTTGGTGTCTTTCTCTATTGGCTTTGCATATAGGGATGAGGTGGGGTGCGATATCGTGCCTATGGATGATTGACACCTTTTGTTAGGACGTCCGTGGAAGTTTGATCGTGTCGTGATTCATGATGGGCGCCTTAACACGTATGGATTTATGTTTGAGGGTCATCGCGTTGTCTTACTTCCTTCGGCCCCCAGTTCTGTTCCTTTGCAGCAGGCGTCGACGACATTGTTTCTTTCTCGGGATGGGCAACATGGCGACTTGGTTGAAGCTGTGGACAGTCGTTCGATGGTATATATTGTGGGCAACTTTGTGTGGGTTGTTTACCCGACAGATTACCGAGTGGGCCCGTAAGAGGTTATCGATTGGCTACCTCCCGATGCATACCGTCTTCGCTTGCCCTCTCATGCTCGTTTGTCAGATGTTTTTCACGTGGCACAGTTGGCTCCTTTGCTTATCGACGACTCCAACGGAGACGAGCTCGGTCCAGATTCGAGGGCAAATCCTTCTCAACCGGGGGAGGATGATGGAGACGAACTCGCGTTGGAGTTTTTGGACAAATATAATCGACTCTGAATTTGAATTGATTATTATTTTTTTTCCTTTTTATTTATTTCCTACTTATATATCTATTAGGAGCAAGTAAATAAATAAATAAATATCCTACGAGTATCTTGTAGGTGTAGGACTCCTCTTTATTTATGTTTGGGTTTGTAACAAAAGCGGGCAACTTTGAGTGGAATCTATCAGATTTTAGTAAATTCACGAGAGAGTATCTCGTATTTTTCTCGTTCTTATTCACGTTCTACATCAATTTTTAATATACAAAATATAAACTCTATTTGAAATATATAATTTACCGACAACTGAGCCTCAAATTCCTGAGGAGATGTACACAAATATTGATATCATTACAACCAGTGTACTAGAAGTCGCTAGGCGCCCGCTAGGCGCCCGACCAGCGCCTAGCGCCTAGAGCGCCTAGGCGGGGCCTAGGCGGGGCCTAGGCGGGGCCTAGAAATTAATATTAAAAATATTATTTTTTGTTTATTTATTTTCACTTCCTATAAAATAAGAGTATGAAACTACTTCAATTTATAACAAATGTCCACACACATAAACACAAACAATAATATTAATATATTATAATGAAAATTGAAAACATGATAACAATTAGCAATCCACATTAGCAACCCACATGACAATATTGTACTAACCACAATCCAAAAAGTAAAAACAAACTCTAAGTCTAAAACAAACTCAAAACAAACTCCAAGTCCAAATAAATACATAAACACTACTAAGTAGTAACTACTAACTAGTAAGTAGTAAGTACATATTACATAACCACAATCTCAAAAGAAACTCC